CTTTTTCTCTATTTATTCCAATGATAATTGTGCGTGCCAATATCACCAGGTCAACAATGAACAGCGATGTCATCTGGCAAACTCCGTGTTATGTGTGCGCATTCAGGCAGTTTGTGAAATCTCAATACCCAGCCAATCGATCGTCTATTCTAGTAGCCCGGCCAGCTTACACCAGAGACGAGTACAGCGCAATGCAAGTCATCTTCCGTACCGGATATGGTGCGCACCACCGAGCTACCCTCTGTCTGAAAACCACATTCGTTTTTTCCTCCGCACCGGTAGGGTCTGCCAACGCTTATCGTTCTTCAGCCCTCCCGAGCACCATTACATGCAACGACAGCCGGAGCGTCAAAGAACCACACGGCACGGCACGAGCATAGGAGAAAACCCACCGCGCGACAGCCCGTGTCTGCTTGCGTCACTCTTGACGGACGTTGTGTGTCTTTGTGCTTCTTCTGGAAAACCGGTTCAGGCTGCGCACCCAGTCTAAACGACCTAGTTCCTGAGGCCGTCCTGCGACACCGAGTTGGCCAAAACGACGGGCGCTGACGCAAGAGAGACTTAGGAGAGATCTGTTGCCATCGCTCGATCGCGGCAAACATGCTTTGTTTCCAGTACCATGTTCTCCTTGACAAAAGCAGACCTGATCACAGAAGAAGTAAGAAGCCAAACGTTGGAGAAGCAACGCCTTAGCGGGATGGTAGCTCAGCCTCGAGCCACCAGTTCTTCCGATTACGATAGAGCAATCTGTCGCAGCTTCAGCTTCATATTGTGGCGCCGTCGCTGCTGCACAACGACGTAGGTGGCACTAGGCTTTGAAGTTAAGTTACGCAGTTGCATTTGTCTTTGTTGACACTCGACGTTGAAACAGCCACTCGTGTTTCGCACCATCTCAGCTACTATACCATGGTACATCAGCTCCTCAGCTGACAGTAACAGCTCTCGGCGAAAACCAGATCTAGCCAGCCATAGAGCCTGTCGTTGCCCATATATCGCCGATTTCATCATTCATGCCATCTCAGGGTCCCGAGGTCTTTGTAGAGTACGGACCATTGTATACTCCCCGCTCTCCGAACATCTTATCGGTATCTCCCATCCAACGTCAGCTGAACGGCTCCGCAAGGCTTCGGCCCGAAGCATGTGTGTCAATCACCTGCATCTGCCCGTGGACTACTGTTATGGCGACAACAAATTTTCCCTTTGGTATGTGGACCTAGTGTTTACGTGAGCTGAACAATACACGGTCTGTGTACAGTGGAACTACCGATGTGTCCCCCGCAAACGTCTGCATGTCACCTGCATTGCATCGTGTCAGTCTGTTGATCCAGCCTCGCCTGCTTCATCTGATAGTTCACACCGCAGAGGCCATAGTTCATACGGCCGTGATAGACTGCTCATTGTGCATACTGCCTCGGTCTTGTGTCATGCCATGTCATCCTTCCCCCACCCGGTCAATACAGCTGCAGCACCACGACACCAATGAACACTCTTACTCAGCATCTTACCCCAGCATCTCAATTATCCAGCTCGATCAACACATGCAGGTCTTAGTCGTGCCTCTAGACGCGAGGCGCCAGAGATCATAAAACCCCACATGATATGCACCACGTCATCCCACACCAATACTCTTGAGCGTCAAACTATACTCGTTTCTTGATAAGACAACACAGTACAGCTCATCATAACACGAGACAACGCAACATACGCTTTCATTGATTCCGAACCAAGCTTTGCTCAAGGAGTCATCTGATCAGACGATAGACAGTCTTTGCAGGCAAAATCGAATGGTGATGAGCAAGCCGAACGTGCGCACCATCAACACGAATACACTCCACAGAACTGTTGTGACTCTGCCTGAGCCTTCCCCACTCACGATGCAAACTGAAGAGAAATTTTGGTTGCTCGGGAGATATACAGATACTACTGCGAGCAAGATGGGCGAAAGCAAAATGGGTACCTGCAGCTAAGTCTCTCTTGCATCTGACAACAGCGGGCATCCTATCCTTGACCGCCATTTCATGCAGGTGCGCGTATGCGCGTCTAGACGCGAGCCAGACCGAATGTGGTTTGCATAGACGCACGCAAGACCCAAGATGCTGGAATCTGCCGGTACAGGGAGTCTTGTCTCGGGGATCTGGCGGGTGTGGGTTCATGAACATGTTGATACACCGGATGGCTTTGCGGTGAGAAGAGCGGTCACGGTGGGCGATAGGATCTATGCACTCATCCAAGGATGATCTGTTCAACAGCATACTGGTTCAAGCATTGCGCAATCACGGTCCAGGTCTAGGCTTAGGGAGTTAGATGTGGCAAATATATGATTGCATTACTATATACACTATTGCCATAGCGAATCTGCTCAGAAACAACCATCAAGACCAAATCACTGTACATGGTTAGCAAACCAGTTCAGCCAAAATGTGCTGTCAGATGACGACTTTAAGGTGTAGGGATCAGTTCTCCAAGGTGATTGTATCTTCAATGTTATTAAGAAAGAACACAGCGAAATCATGTTGTTCATCATACGAGGGGTGGCGTGTAGAGCAGGATGTGATTCAACTTACCAAAAAGTGCACGATAGTAGACCTGAAAACAGCGGAGTGGGAACTGCATTCGAGATGTTAGCATACGTCCAAAGAGACATACTACATCCGTGGTGGATGGAAAGTACGAGTCCATCAAGAATCAGCCTGGTACACACACGTTAGTCAACGTTCTCGAAGAGTCTTCGATTCTGACATACCTCATTAAATCAGATTTTGTGGTAGTGATCAGTACGACGGACGCTCGTTACAACGCCGCCGCTCACACAGTGTGAATATCAAAAGAATCATCATTGAAATGATGGACCGTCTGTTGGAAGAAAGAGCTTGTCATACCTGCGAGGCCTGTTAGTTGAGCAGTTCGCAAGAATGCATCGCAAAATGTGGTATGTGACGGCAATCAGAGATGCTGTTATCAACAAGTAAAGCCTCTTCCGAACACCCACAGGTTTGTACGCCTGCTTTTGATGGATGCCGGTCAAGGCATACGTTATGTCCGCCCGACGCATCGAGGTATCATCAGGAAGCCAGGAGTGTTCGCAGAGGGGAAGGTTCGTGTGTATGGGAGTATGTACCTGCAAGCACCAGAGTTAGCAAGTTGATCGCGAATAACGTCTTGCAAAATTGCGTTAGGGTTTAGCAGTGTCAGACAAGGCTGAAACTAAAAGCAAGGGTGTCGACATTGTATATTCAGGTCGAGGAATGCCTTTCCGTGTCGTGTTTTCATCACTCTGCGGGTGGTGGGATGAAGAGGTTGGAGATGTCTTACCTTTAGAGAAATCGCGAAGAGACGAAAGTGTTCGCGCTGGTGATTGCGATACTAGAGCGTTGTCAGCAACTGTCCAAGTACACACATTGGTAATGCCGATGCGCTTGATTGCATCATTGTAATTCTAGAGTTGTGTAGTCCTTCACGGTGCTGTAGGATTTGGATTGTTCGTATGTGATAATCTTCTGCAGGAGTCGCGGGGACGGAAAAAGCTTACCTGAAATGTAAAACATGCGCACTCTTTGAGTTAGTATTGATCAAGATGAGTACTTGGAGGCGCGCATAATGAAGCGCGTTGCGATGCAGGTGATGAGAGTGATGTTGGATTGATTTTGAGCTCCAGAAATTTTAGCTTGCTCCGGCGCCGAGCCTCCGTAGCGCCGCTTATGTAACCCACCCAGCCAACCAGTTCCCCACCTGCCCTCAGTATGATGCATGTTTGGGACAATTGTTGTCGACGCACCTAGCATGTGTTCTAGCTTACCTAGGCTTTCGATGGATATGCATCTACAACAATGTCAGTAACCTCTTCCAGGACTGTTTCATGGCAGTTGAGAACGACTAGGCCCTCTGCTGCGGTACCAGGTATTCAACCCCCTACCTAGATACCTTCTAGGTCATCTATTGTCCTCCAATATTGCTTGAGCACACTCCCACACAAGCATCTGTAGAATGGAGACAATGATTCATAACTTCAAAACTTTCTATTCTGCTGACCTAGTGAGACTTATACGATTAAACAATCGCACCAGCCAGCCATCCGTACTGTATGGTATATCATCTATGATTGTCACAAGATTTTTCTAACTGCATTCATTACTACGCACCAGCTACCATTAGTAGCTGATAACAAGCCACGCAGTACCTTATGTGCGTTATCTTCGATTCTCGACAGGCCGCAAGGTAGCGCCATGAATTCATCGCCGCGCTAAATGCTCTGCGATGATGAAGGTTCGTTGCCTTATACCCGAACTTACAGAAGGAGCAAATCAAGATGCCGGTATCAATAGATATCTATGCGGGCTGACACTTCAGCCTTCTGAGGAGACCGGATGCGGCAAAATCACCCAACAGTTGCAGCAGCCAGTAGCACTCGCTTCCAGTAGATGTTCGGGCAACCCTCCTTCTGATTCTGCCAGGTCTCAGCCTTGTGGCTTGCTCTGGTAACATATAAACTCAAGTCTTGCATCGAATTGAAGGAGAGAACTTAGCGATTGTCTCCGACATCACCAGAGTCTTCAGTAACCAGTAAACGATACCACTTTGGAGTTTCGTCTATTGAAGTTATGGTGACTAACTTCTGGCCAACCTTGCATCCTTCCGTCAACACGAGTAGTACTGAGAACCTCGTCAGAAGACCGGAATTGGCTCGGCGTCGCGGATTTTGGAGTTTTCTTGCCCGCATTCCTCTCGTTCCGTTCGCCCTATTTGCTGGAATCAGCTGTATATTTACAGTTGTGTTTTTCGCTTCGTGGTTGAGCAAACAAATCCTTCGCTGCCCGGCATGGGCGAATAATTGCACAGTGCCTCGCCGCACCCAGAAAATTACGGACAACATCGGGACCGTACAAGGAATCAGCACAGTAGTTTACTCCATCGGATTGGCAGCAATAGCTTATGCTGCCCACGCTTTCTCTGAATCAGCTTTGTGGCCGCTATTGTATCGACAAAACTTCACATTATATCAGATGGACACATACCTCAAGGCGAGCGGTGGCTCTATTGCTTCTTCCCCGGCTGCTGTGTTTTCGATACGTAATCTCAACTCTGGTCTGATTCTGTTTGCGACCATTAACATCACATTGCTTCCACTTGCCGGCGCTCCATTAATGGGACGTGTATTTAATCAGCAAAATCAATCCAGCGTCTTTCAAAGTCTGTACGAACGCCCGGGTGGCATGATCGGTCCAATATTCATACAAAGGAACCCTCCCGGTGTCATGCTGGAACGAGCTGCAGCTTGGTACACTTCATGGGCGTGGAATATGTCTACCGAGCCAATGGGAGACCAACGCAATTGGATTCTCGATCGGAAGACCTTGTCAGAACGCGGCAACTTCTCTGCAAACGCTGTAAGGTTGCAACAGGAGATCAGCTGCACAGGGTGGAGAGCGAGACCCAAGAAGTGGAAAAACGGGATTCTAACATTCAATACAAGGATGAACAATTCCGAAAATGGGCGGTCTGAGAGAGATCAACATTCTACTGCTATTAAAGTTCGAAATGAGGACAAACTTGCTGTTTGGGCGGACGACTACGTATTTGAATCACCAACAAAAACCCGGGCGACGCTTGTTTTCGCTGCGATCAATGGTTCGGTCGTCGGAGGTGACACCACAACTATGGAGGAGTTCGGCAAACAAATCACCAGTATAGCGTGTCAAATAACTATCGAGTTTGTGGATGACATTCTCACTGTCGGAATCGCTCCCGATGCAGCGAGAGCACAATTAGGAAGCGTTGCACAGCTGAGAAACTCCAGAGGCTTGAACGAATTGGCGCTCTGGTTTGCTATATCACCCGTTGGGAACGGGGCTAGCGTCTTCGGGACAATGCCGATGTATGATGCTCCTTGGGGCGAGATTCCACTGCGATTTACTTCTACCAACGAAGGCTTGAACAAAGGTTGGGAAGTGGAGAAAATTCGACATTTTATCAGCGTTTCAATCGGAGCCACTGCACTTCGCACAAGTACTTCGCCCGATGTCAATCCCGTAACAATGCGTTCGAGCGCCCACACACTCAAACTGGATCCAAATCGGCCACTACTCTTGCTTGTACTCCCTGTTTTAATACTCATCAACGCAGCATTCCTAGTCTTATGGAACGCACGACTATATCGGCAAACCAAGATTCCATGTTATCAGCAGGCGAAGCTGAGCGAGATCTTGACGTTCTCTCAGTCCAATGACCTCAGAGAAGCGGCAGAATCAGCGTGGCGTAGTAAAGGAGAAAAGAACGAACTGGATTCTCTGGGGGTACGCTACTGGTGTGATGAGGGTGATTGGGCTTTGCATACCGTGAACGCTAGGTCCAAAGGTCAGAAGAAGTCGCGCAGACAATCACTAGCTGGTTACGAGCTTGTTAATCGGAATTTATGAGACTTAGCGAACTACGTTTCTTCGCTCTCAATGATAAAACATAAGCATGTCCCTCAAGCAGAATTAGCGCTCGTATACCAACTATGTCGTCAACGTAAACATTCTGCTACTTTTATCTTTCATATAATTATCCACCTTTCACATAATTCTCTCGGACCTGCGCACAAGTTCAGGTATCATATCAATGTAATCTCAAGCCGTCTCTCCTACTTTCTCGACATTCTAGAATAATGAAACCAACAACGACCGGACATTCAAAGCCGTGCCCGATCCATATGCTGCAACCTCCTTCCTAATCTATACAACGCAACGCAAAGAGATTCGGAGCAAGTACCCAACATATTACTTTCTCATCTAAATTCTTCACACAATATCTCACCACAATCTTGTACTGAAGCTTCGTCGCATCCCTCGCGTATGTGCCGCACCACGACTGTGCCGTACACAGCGGCACGGAGATATTGCAAGTAAAGAAGGGCGGAGGCACAGTTAGGAACAGAAGAAAGCGGCACGCAAGAATCCATTGATGAGGCACAGTTGACCTAGCGTAAGTCGCCTAAATCTGCTTACCTAGGTAAGCAAATTATCGCGATCTCGTCGCATAGTGCGTTTGAAACCTGCAAAGCGAGATTACGCGTTATCGACGTAGTGTGACGATTAAGTTCCGTGATTTGTGGTGTGATGGTGTGATGAAGGTGCAGATGATGAAGGGTCATGTGATGCAGTATGTCAAAGGCTTGCCTGCTATAGTTTTCCGTTGGTTCTAGTAATTACGTCGACGATGACTAAGGTGCAGTGCGATGAGTGTATCGGACTCGTGTTTCATCACGGGAAGGTGGAGACAATGGCGTGTCGTAGGTAGAAAGAAGGCATGATATTTTTTGTCACAGTGGATCATCCATCAAAAAACCCTCTCATAGATCCCATTGATCTGCTTTCACAAATGTCCCAGAAGAAGAACCCAAATTAAAAACAAGAAAGGCAAAAGGTTGATCGTTTCGCTCTCTTCGCTATGCACACGCAAGCTCTCATCCGACCATGAGCATGAAGACAATCCAAGGCCCTGGTTACATCTCAAACTGAATGTCCTTTCGAGCCATCAACTGCCGTGAAAATATACATTAGGAAAGTAGTTGGAATGAAGTGAAGTGAAGTGAAGAGGAGTAAAGTAAAGTAAGGTGAAGTAAGGGGGGGTATGGGGCATGCAAACATAAAAGGCAAGAGAGAAGAGAGGTATCGGACAAGGACCTCTCTATGTCCAACCGACCATAGCGCGTCCAACGGTAGATGTGTGCCAGAGATGCGAGCATTGCAAATCGTTGAAAGCATAAAGACATGTCGAAGAAAAGACGCTACTGCGAGCCTCGGAGGGCAAACTAGGTAGAGCAGGTGTATCGGGGGTATGTCGCGCGTGGTATGTAAAGATCCCTTCCAGTACGCCGGTATAAGCAGGTAACAAAGAAGCAAATACATGAAGGTTAAAGTTGTGGGTGAGCGGATAAGCGGAGAAGCTTAGAAGCAGTTTAAGGTGCCCTTCTTCTTGCCTTTTTTCTGCGCATTGTTGAGAGCTGCCATGCGAGCTTCGAGGTGGGCACGCTCGGCCTCAACGCGAAGACGGGCGTTGCGTTCCTCTTCAACGGCTTGGAGAGAGTGGCGTGCTGCGCTGCGCTCTTTGCGCATCACGTTCAACTCTTCTTCCAGAGTAGCACACTTCTTTCTAAACTGATCCAGATCAGTCTTGGTCTTGGTGCTTGAAGCTTCGAGGTCAGTCAGAGCATCCTCAAGGGTAGCTGTGAGCTGCTTTTCAGCAAACAAGTGCTTCTCGATGGTACGGATGCGAGCTTCTTGGTCTTCGACCAACTGAGCATGTGCAATATCTTTGCTCTGATGGCGCGAGGTAGGGGGAGAAGGCGCACTGGCCTGTGGTGGTGGGCTGCCAGGAGGGAGGGGAGGGAGAGGGATGGCAGGTGGCGGTGACGGCAAAGAGGTGTGCGCAGTGCTCTTGCGCGCAGTAGAGTTGTTCGAATTGGATCGTTGAAGGTCTTCACGAGGGTCCATAGAGGCACGAGCAGAGTTTCGCTTCGCATCAACCAGTTGTGACTAAATCATGTTAGCTCATTGTTCGAAGTTGAGATTAAGACAAACTTACCTCCAAGAGTGCGATCTTGATGCGCGACTCCTGTACCTCCTTCTCAAGTTCTTCACCATGGTTCATGGCATCTTGAAGCTCGCGAGTGCGCTCAGTTTGTAGAGCAGACAATCGGTTGTTGGCAGCCTCATGCTGGTCCCAGTTCTGGTTGAGCTGATCTTCAAGTTCTTGTACGAGACGGGCGCTCTTATGCTCCTTCTCGCTTACTTTCTCGAGCTCCTTCAATGTCTCGGCGTTGATGATTTCGAACTCCTTCATCTTGCCCTTGAGTGTATTGACTTCATTGGCGGCTTCCGCGAGGTCTTTCCTAGCCACCTCGCGGTCGGCTAAAGCCTCCTCCAGCTTGGTAGTGATGGACTTGCGCTCCTGAACCAGTGCCTCGATATGAGACTGCACATTGCTGATGTCTGTCTCCTCACCTAGTGCAGTCGAAACACTCTCAAGCAGCATTGCCATCTCGGACTTGGCCTTGGAAAGATCCGCTTCGAGCGAGGCAGATGTCTCTCGATGAGTTGTCAGCTCTAGCGTAAGCTTTTCAAGCTCGACTGCGTGTGTCTTCTGGATAGAATCCATGCCTTGTTGATGGTAGTCGATCGCTGCCTTGTGCTCTTCGATCTGCCTCTCCAAGTTGGAAACAAGCGACCGGTGAGTGTCCAGTTCCTTCTCAGTAAGCGCCCGGGCTTCAGAGTCTTCCTCAATCTGTTGGATAATGCTCGCATGAGATTCTTCAAGCTCAGCAAGGCGGGCAGCGTTGTTGACAGCCGTTGATTTGTGCTGGTCAACCTCGGCTTGCAAGGTAGCAATAAGCTCAGAGTGCTTGGCTCTCTCCTGTTCCAGAGCTGCCTCAGACTCAGCGCCTCGGGTTTGCTCGATCTCAGACACGCGTAGAGCGTGGTCAACTTCGAGTCGCTGTTTCGCAGATTCTAGTTCGCGAACTGTCTCAAGATGTCGTTTCTCGGAGGCCTTGGTAGCTTCAATGGCCTCGAGGTGCTTGGACTGCCAATGAGCAGCTTCATCACTAAGCGTAGTAAGCTGGGTGTGGCGACTAGCTTCATCTTGAGGTTCTTCGTGACCGTTCACCATCGGCGTCGCCTCAGGCGTCCGGCGCGGTGATGGTAGATCATCAGATGGATCAATGCCCTTCGCAGAAGCCTTGAGGGTCTCAATCTGTTCTCTGAGTTCTTGTTCGCGCTGTGTGTGGGAATCCTTCAACTCCTTGATGTGCTCTTCATTCTGCTTCATCTGATCCTGCATCGAAGCAACGATGGAGATGTCGAGAGGAGACCCAGCCTTCAAGCTAGAACGTTCTTTTGTTAGGCCACTGATCAAAGTCATCTTGCCTTCCATCTCCTTGCGTACAGATTGCAACTCCATCTCCAAATCCTGCACTCGCTCAGACCGAACATGAAGCTCTGACATGATAGTGTTGAGGTTGACCTCAAAGTTCTGGATGGCATCAGGGTCTTCTTCTAGAGTATCCAAGGCCAAGTTACGAAGCGAGGCGAATGCGCGGTTAGAACGGTCGTTCGCGAGAACTGCTTGACTGGACTTTCTGCGAATCATGTGGACAGACGGGGAAGATGGTCGGTTCGCTTGCATCTGGGCTTTCTGAACCTCCGACTTGAGCTCTTCGACGTAGTCGAGTGTGTCTTGATGCTCTTCTTGAAGATCGGAGTAAGTTTGTTGAAGCTTCTCTATGCGTTCCTCCTTCTCGTTGTGCAGTAGCTTCAGTGCCTTCAGCTCTTGGATCAGCACGGTGTCAGGAATGTGCTGCTCTTGGTTCGTGGAGGCGACTGATGTCCGTCGAGCCTTGGTCTCGTCATGACCAACCTCCGTCTCCTCCTCTGAAATATTGTTGTTGCCGGACTCCGCTAAGGACAATTCCGCAGACAGTGTACGCGAGGACGATAGTGGGCCATCCTCTGCTGTGACACCATTCGCTCCCGTCTCTGCTAAGAAGGAGCTTGGTCGAGAAGAAGCCACTGACGTTACCCCATTACGGCGCGCTTCATCTACAGAGTCTTGAAGGGCGGCCAAAGTCCGCAAAGCCTCTTGGTACTTGCTGGCAAGTTTCTCGTAGTCTTGAAGCGTTCCTTCATGTTCAACGCGTAGATCAAGCAGCTCTTGAGTGACGGTGTCGAGTTTGTCATTCACAAAGCGAGTTTGCGCCGGGCTGGAAGGCTCGTCGCCTGCGGCTGAAGCAGCCTTGACAGCAAAACGATCCTTTTGCTCGTCTGCACCGTCATGCTGGGCAGATGTGCTGGCTGTGAGTGGACGCTCACTCTCTTCAGGAATGGCATCCACGGGCGTGCCGAACTGGTGCATGCTCTCGCTAGTAACCCGCTTCTCTAGCTTAGGGCGCTTCTCGATGAAGGGATCACTAGGTGTCTTGGAGTGGCCGTTGACGTAGGAGTCATCAGCGGGATCCTTGTGGTCGAGCTCGTGGAGGAGATTGTCCAGTTTGGCCACGCTGCGTTGCCTTTCGACGACATGCTTCAGTCGCTCGATCTCACGGGTCATGATCTCAGTCTCCTGCTCATTCTCGGCCAGACGCTCTTCTAATGTTGAGATGTATTCCTCGCTGCTTGTTTCGTTCTCGCGAGCCCTTTGTAGCTTCTCGCGCAGCTCAGTAATGATAGTATCGTTCTTTTCGATGCCATTCGCTGAGTTGTCGATTTGGCGCTCGAGCGATTGGACATACTCTTCGTTGTTCGCGTCCCGTTCCATTGCCTTCTGAATGCGCGATTGCAGGTGATGGTTCTGGCTTTCGAGAATTGCAATGCGTGTCTCCTTCTCCAGAAGGTCGCTCTCGTTGTTCGACAGAGATGATCGTGTGTTGGAAAGGGAGGCT